TTCACTGTTCTCAGAGTTTCCCCTTCATAGTGAATTTATTTGATTTCTTTACTATGTCTTTTTACTTTTAAGTGGAACCTGACATACTCCCTCAAAAGAGAAATCTTGTTCAACTACACTTGATTACGCTATGCAGGACAGCCTCCTGTCCTATTAGCACAGACTGTGTCAGTTTAAATTGACATTGCCTAAGTGAAAATCAACCCTTTACTACAGCCATTGAAGATTATCTCCAGGCTATGACACTAGAAAAGCAAATCGTCATGGTAATTTAAAAAGTGAATTATTAACACTGGGTAAGCATCTTTGCCAATTGGCAATCATTCTTTAGTATATTTATTATCAGATTTTTCCATTTTGCTTTTTGACTTATGTCAGAATGACCAGACAGATTGTCAGTCAGGTTGTATATATACACTTATCCTTTCGGACTAGTGCCATTATGCCATAACTTTTCCTGTCTTCTAGACTTCTCTCCAGATTTTCAGCATCAGCAGTGATCTTTTGGCAATCTAGAAAGCAAAGTTTTGGATGCACATTACCTGTGGTATATGCATACACACAGGGCTTTCTTATTATTACACAATGTTCTTGTCACAGAAAATAATTTCTCTACTGTTTTCATTCAGTGAATAAGGCAATATGATACTTTCCCATCCTGGTTCATCCTACAAAACACGAATATTTTTAAAACAGAACTGTAAACAAAAACAACTCCCACCAATACCAGAAGGAAACTGAGAGCTTTCATAAACAAACAAAAAAAATCAAATTGCCTCAAGTCTGCTAAAGTCTAATACCTCCCAGATGTTCTGCATTTTATAACTGACAGAAACAGCACATCAGAACTGAAGATGGAGGAAAGTATCCTATTTTCATTTGCTACCTTTGTTGCCATACTTAATTGTATGGATACCTAAGATCCCACTGCTCCCTTTCCACTCTCTTGAATTTATTTTTCTTATTTTTGTACTTTATCCACCAACATTCTTCACAGAAATTAACTTGCTGGAACCACTTAGTTACGCTTGATAGAAACTGCCCTTAGCTTCTGGTTGTGAGCAGTTAGGTAATTGCAGAAGGAAGAATAATTTTCACATGATCATCACTACCCAAAAGAGAGATTATGGAGGACAGATAGGATAGAAGGTGGGAGGGGAAAAAACACAACCTTTATATTATCCATAAAACCATTACTTCAAATACAAATGAAATACTAAATTACCTTGAGATGGTTAAGCAGCTAGATTAAGTAGTTAAATAAGAGGAAGTTTTATCAACAAAACACTCATTTAATCTATAATTTTACCACCAAAGGGAGGCATTTAGCTTACGAAGCTAAGAATAATTAATCTATTTTAATTGGTCTGTTTACTGTTTGGCTTGCTATTTTACATCAGTAACACATTTAGTTCTATTTCCTCCAGGTACTAGGAATGTGTTTCAGTACAGAAAATGGCTATATTAAACTGATGCAAGCAGGAAACGACCCAGCATTGCATTGCATCTCAAGCAGTGTATACAAGAGGAAACAGGTAGCTTTTATTAAATATGTTTTGCATACATTTTAGGGCAGTCCAACAACAGGTGTTTCACCCATGCACAAGGGATTTTTATTCTCATAAAGAGTAGTATTTAAGTTCAGTTTTGTGTCTGTGCATACACAGAGGGCATCAAGGAAAGACACAGTTAATATAAAGAAATTATTTCTAGCAGTGTATACAAGAGGAAACAGGTAGCTTTTATTAAATATGTTTTGCATACATTTTAGGGCAGTCCAACAACAGGTGTTTCACCCATGCACAAGGGATTTTTATTCTCATAAAGAGTAGTATTTAAGTTCAGTTTTGTGTCTGTGCATACACAGAGGGCATCAAGGAAAGACACAGTTAATATAAAGAAATTATTTCTAGCCTGTACACTTCACATTGCTCTTCGGTCTCCTGATAGGAGCCAGAAGCCTGCAGAAAAGCAATGCTTGGCAAAAGGAAAGCCACTCAAAAACCCAGCCCCACCACACTCCAACATCCTACCCACACACTCCAGAATTGTAAAGCAGCTATTTTGTTACCTAACTCCATTTCTTGGCAGAGGAAGGTGGAGCAGAAACACTCCAAGGTACATACCAATGACTTTAGACATGTATTACAGCTCTACTGCATAACACTATGATGGCTTAACTTCTCCAGGATACTTCCCCCTTTGGCAGGCTATGCATCAGAAGCTAACCCTGGCATCTCCACATTCCACAAGATCTGCATGTTTGCAGAAGTACAGGGGAAGGAAACCCAATAAGCTTGTTTTCCAAATTCATCTTTTCAGTGAGAGAGACTGCCACTTCAGGCAGCACTTACAATGGTGCATTTCACCAACAGAAAAGGATACTTCTCCATTTAGCTCCACGGATCTACTGGTTGCTGCAGCAGGTTCACCAACAGTAGTAAGATTTTACCCGGAAAAGTGTGTGTTGACAGAAGCCTTAGCAGTTTCCCCTCTTAACCTTCCACACTCCTCTCTGCTGCAAGTGGAGTGAGGAAGAGATGGGGACAGAATAGGCAGCAGTTTCCTAGAATCTGGGTGACTGGCAGTTGGTTACATCAGTTATGGCAGTAGACAGTAAAGCCCCAAGACTACGCAGAAAAATATTCCTGCTCTACTACTAATAGCAGTGTCTACCTTTGTAATGCAGACTCAAATGCCAATCTAATGGGATAGCACCAGAATTGTCCTAGTTGGGGAAGGGAATAAGGCTGGATACACGGCTTCCATGGGGATCTTGGTATTTTATTCAGCAGAAGTCTTTCTTAAGTCACCTGGATAGAGGGGCATTTCATGGTATTACCACAAGGCCCACAAAACGTTTACTTTTAAAATCAGAAGACATATTGAACAACTTTATGCAGGTGCCCAAAGAGAGAGAGACCTGAGTGGTTTGGTATGTGCTTTCAACCAGGCACAGCACTTTTTGAGATCAAAGGAAGCTCTGAAAGAGCTAGCAACACATACATACATGTCTTGTGCACTCCCTGGCCTTTATACACATACTACCTTCAGATCAGTGTCCACAGCGTTATAGAATCATAGAATCATTTGGACTGCAAAAGACCGTTGGTGAGGAATACATTTAGTGCAGGTAGCTCAGTGTGAAACTGCAGAATGATCTGCAGGTTGAACTTTGTGTGGCAGGGCCAGGGCCCAAGGCAAGAGGCCATAAACTACAGATGCTTGGCATAACAAAGGGCACAGGCACCTGTGGCTCGGGCCAGGTGACCCGACACACCAGAAGCCAACAACCCTCAGACTCTCTGGTGCTTAGAATGTGAGGGTATTAAAGCCCAGGGGTTCCTCTGTTCAAGGACCCTCCTTGGAGCCACTAACTCAAGCTGTTATTTTGTTATTTAGTTACTACACCAAGATTAAATTACTTGAAGGGCTGGAATGTCTGTGACTCTGCTAGGGAAAGCCTAGGGTCGAGCCAGTAAGGAAATCTGGTCTGACTGTGCAAGTGGGGCGTGTGCAGGGAGTCAAGTGGGGCACCTGTTGGCTCACTGGAGCTGCCCACTGTGAAGGGACCTCGGTCCTAACACAGGTAGCATGAATGTGACTGCCAGAGTGGCTCCTGTATGGTCAGACAGCAAAGTTTCCTTAACACCGTAAGATCAAATCCACCATTTACTTAACACTACCAAGTCTACCACTACCCCATGTCCCTAAAAGCCATCCAAGTACATTTCAGTTAGATCTTAGGATCAGATGTCTTCAGCCTTCCTCCTTCATGTTTGGTTGCCACATGCTCACAAGGAACAATGAGGCAGTTCTGCTTATCAAAGCTAAACTTACTCCTAGGCAGAATACCTCTACTTCTGCCTACCAGCCTCAAAGGCCTGCTTACTGTTGAGTATCTGTGCTTTTTGTCCTTAACCTCCAGAACTAAGTGTAGGAAGTAACATTTGGATTCCCTTCTCTCCATCCACTACCATTCAACACCCCAGGAGCAAGTCCAACTTTAGTTGTTTAGTTACTGCAAAAAATACTTTCTTCTCTCTGAAACAGAGTTCAGCCTCCAGATGGCATGGCATCAAAATTATCTTAGCCCTCTGTAACTAGCATAGTGCTTCTACAGCAGTGTTATTATAAAAGTACAATTCCAACCACATAGAAGAACTACTATTTAAGATGCTTTTCTTCCAAACAAGCTGTGTCATAGCACATTAGCACCAACAAACAGTCAAAATGAGAAAGCAGCAAGTATCTGGTAAGATATACATTACCAAAATTCACTGGCAAATGGGACTTCACTGGCTTGGAAGAACAGTACATGCAAATCCCAGGAGAATTCTGTGACAAGAATTCAGAATAGCTATACCAAGTTTTCATAAGGAAATCATGCTTCTTAAACTTACGTGTATTAGCAACAGAAAATTGGCAAGGAGAACTGCTGGGATAGCATGAAATCTTGGCCTCAGTTGGGAATGCAATGTATGAGATGAAATGAGTGGTGCATCCAGTAGAGGATCATCTTCCAAACTGTGTGTTATTTCCAAGGAGCCCTGGAACAGAAGGGGAGGGCAAAGAATAACAACAGGTAAGCTCTAAAAGTAAAGTACAAAGGTTTACCAATTTTCTGTTACCAAATCAAGCTTTGTGGGGTAAAAGCCTACTAGGTCAGCATCTTGAGACAAGCTCTTAAATTCTAGGTAAACTCTCATCACATATTTATGTGAGAACTCAGCCCCCGAGGAATCCGACACTCATCTACCTCCCAGTATCACACTAAGTCTTCAATAACTTTAGCCTTTAAAATGTATTACAAGTATCTGAGCATCAATTCTGAGAGATGCCACAAGTATTAGTGTCAAAGTACAATGCACAAGTATTTATGTGAAAAAGTGACCATTAAGAGTCTCTCTCAAATTCTGTATACAGGCACTGCAAGATTCCTTGTTATTCTTTCTTCTGTCCAACTACAGTTTGAGGCAATAAAGTTGCAGTATAACTAACAGCTTTGAGTGACCCTACTGACATGCCAAAACACCTGCAGAAGTAGACAGAACTGAACACCAGCAAGGAAGAAGCAGTAGCTCATCGAGGGAAGATGATGCTACTAAGTGCTGGTCAAGACATCCTCAGCTTTCAGATGCCAGGTATAATTTCAAGCTCTGAAAACAAGTGTGCAGGACAAGCACTCCAGCAGTCAAGACACCTTGCCTGATTCTTTAGTTACGTATTAGGAAGAATTCCTTTACTGTGAGGATGGTGAGACTGAAACAGGTTGCCCAGTGAAGCTGTGGATGCTCATCCCTGGAAATGTTCAAGGCTAGGCTGGATGGGGTCTTAAGCAACCTGATCTAGTGAGTAGTGCCCCTGCCCATGGCAGGGGGGTCAGAAGTAGATCTTTAAAGACCATTCCAACCCAAGTCATTCTCTGCTTCTATAATCACAGAATTAATAGCAGGGTTAGCAGCTCATATCTCCCACAAAGACAGCTATTCTCCTTTGTCTCGTGGGAACAAATGAACACACTTCTGCAATAGCATAAGAGATCAGGGCACTCCTTCACAGACAAAGCTTTATCACAACACATTTGACCATGCTAGTTACTGCAAGACTAGCTACAATCCATCTTTGCATCCTGAAATGCAGCTAGCATTAGGAAGCACTGGATGACAATCTCCTCGAGTAGATACTATTACAGACAACATGGGGAGGAGGGGAATTAAAGCAAGGGAGATGAGGACCTCACACAGTCAATCCGACAATAAGAAAATCTACTAAGTGTCCCAACTAGAGCAAAGACAGGTTTCATTTAACTAAGAGGAGCCAAAACCGCAGATGCCAAAAGCAAAAACGCCTTAAAAGCAGAGTTCTGTTAAGCACTGCTGTTGTTATGAGCACAGGTTAAAGCTTTGGCCTCTTGGTTCCCCGATCCAGCATGTGACCACCTCGGCAGCAGCCCGGCCCCGGGAGCAGGCGGAGGGCAGGCAGGAACCAGCCACGGCCAGCAAAAAAAGCCTTCCAGCTGGGGCGGGGGAGAGGCACACACAGAAAAACGCCGTGGTCACCCCAACGCACAGCACACAGACCAGAGACCGCACCGACAGGATCCGCCTGTGGGAAA